TTTGCTGTGTATTAATTTTCAAATCAAAAGTCATTCATTTATATATCTATACAGAAACTGGTTGCTCCTATGCTATAAAATCGATATTGCTGTGAATTTTCTTAAATATTGAATTCTGACCGTGATGCTATTTGATCCTTTACATCGTTTATAACATATTTTTATAACGCTTATAACGCATGCAACTTATTCTTGCTTTTGTATCGAATTTAAATTCTATCAGCTATGCTTATAATGCGTATAACGCTTATAGCGTATTTCATAATGCTTTTTTTATTACGCTTATAATTTATTTTTATAACGCTTATAAATTATTCTGACATTTGCGAATAATCGCTTTTCAAATAACGCATGGACACGTATTGTAAGATCCAGTTAGTTTAGCTCTTATAAAATGTAACAAGATATACCTAAGTATTGATTTTTGCAAATTCTTACACAGGTTTGAAGAGGAAGACATACAGGGAAAGGATGTAGAACCTTTTATTGAAAACAATATAATTAATGAACGGCACGGACTTACGTGCTTACAAGCATGGATCACTAGTGGTGAGAACTTAAAAAAGATAATGTAACATTAAATTTAAAGGTAAAGAGTAATGCAAGATTACACACTTCAATTTAAGCTAACACCTACACCGGCAGAATTACAACTTGTTTGCAAAAGCGCGTAGATATTAAAGTTAACATCTGGAAGAAAATAGCAACGTGCACTCGCAACAGCGAAATCTCGCTATGACTAAACTTTTCGCCTCTACAGTTGAAATACTTCTGTTCACCCTAACTCGTTTACATATTGACGAGGAAAATAAGAGAAATCGGAAAGTCTGACAAAATTAAAATAACTATTAGTAAAATTAAATAAAACCCTACGGTATAACGATCAAAAACATCATGCCGTCGAATATTTGCTTTCCGGACGATAACGCATGTTGCTTATAACACTGATGAAGCATAAAACACCTACATCTTGTCCTTAGTTTGTGTCGAATCACTTTTGCGGTGTGCAAACTCTGCAATTTAAAGAAATGTATTTATATCTATATATAGAAAGACTCACACTGATGAGGTAATACTTGTGCCCAAGTGCCATTTGTGCTATCCCTACGGGAACATGAAATCTAACAGGTGTAACCAGTTATAGACAACATGTGACATTTCCGCACAGTCTGTCAGAAACAGTCAATTAGCCTTATGATTTACTGACACAATTTTTTTTAGTGTTCCATTCTTTCTCCGACGATACATTTCTGATAATTTTAAGTATCTTCTCAATGTGCACGATTTATTGGAAACCATTGGTCATAATTAAAAAAATAATAACTGTATAAACTCTAAGTGAATTCGAAAGAAGCAACTGCTACGTCTCTCGTTTAAATTTTAGAAATTAACCTTTAATTATGCTAAAATATAACTGATTTTGGAGTTGTGGAAATAAAATAAGCAAATAAACAAATGAAATATTACTTTTTAAGAAAACAATAATTCTGTTATTTTTAATGTAGTGCATTTTAATTATTACTAGATTGCTTGTTACTAGATTATCAGCTGAAAATACTGATATGTTTACATAATGCTGCACGCAATACACATTTATTTATTTATTTTGTCAATTACTGTTTTTCCTAAAAATATTTTTAAAAACTTAAGTTTTTGTTGCCATTTACCATTGTAAAAAATCTATCTTGTCGTTACTACGCGCTTGAAAGCCGAGAGGATATATATATATATATATAGAAGCGATCCGTCATCTGATCTCTGTCTCGCAATTATTTCTGGAATGCGATGAGATCTTAACTCAGCATCCGAATATTAATCTGTTATGTATCTGAATGTAAACGTTCTTGTAATGTGATCCAAAATTGTAATCTGTTTAATGTAATCATGCCTTTGGTATAAAAAGTCTTTGCTGCGTAATCTCTCTCTTTTCGCTTCTTCTCGCTTGCTGTAGAAACATACTCCTGCCTTTAAAAAATAAATTTTTTAAGTCTATGTGATATGAAACGTTCTTTAAGAACAAGGATCTGCAGCCCCGATTTGATTTGTGCAGGCTTAAATAAAAATGTGTGCCAACCATGAATAAAAAGTAAAGAATTGAATTCGGGCACATCTGAAAGTTTCTGGTTTATCCACCCGTCTACCAAGCCAAGTTTTTACAGAGTTTCTTCCCAAATGATTACCTATGTAATATAACTATCATGCTTTCGATTTGCACGCAAGTGTCATTAAACCGTGGCACCAGAGAATTTATGTAATATATAGTAAAATACGATGGCTAAGTTAAGAGATATTTGGTAACCTCAAAATTGACTATTCTAAATTTGATGTTTTCAACCTAAGTTTATCCTTTCTCCCAGATTCGAGATCTTTCCAAATTACATAACACTGCTTGAAAAGAGAACTGAAACCTAAAATTAACAAATCGCAGCTTAGCTATGCATATGCACCTGACTACTGTAAGTACTGCTTCGCGAGCAATTGCATCACTTCTTAACTTCTCCTGCCCTGCAAAACCTCTGCTCTGCTATGCTCCATCTGATTTTTACCTTAAAACCCGTACACATAATTATTATTATTGCTGATTACGATCTAGAATTATTTTGACTACAAAAAACTGATTTAGTATGAATTATCATGGAATAAAATTATGTTTCAAACGGCCATTTATGGAAGTTTTTGGTTTATGTATCCATCTACGCAGCAAAGTGTCTTCGACTGCCGAATTCTACGCATTAAAGCATCATATATATATGTGTGTGTGTGTATGTATGTATATGTAACATCTTGAATGAGCGATAGCTGTAATGGATCCGGGCAGTTGTTTTGTTGCGTAACTTTGTTTTGGACATTTTAGTCTCATTTTTATTATAAAAATAAAATTTCGGTTCTAGGAAGTGGATTAGAATTTATTTCTAGTTAAATTACCAATTATTAAAGTTACCAAAATAGTTTTAATAATTGGCAATTAAAGCGCTTAATATTGTAACCAATTAAGACACAATAACACGCCGAATAAATACTAATTCAGAAGGCAAACAACAAAGATCAGCTTTATATTTACAAATTTTCACAGGACTAGTTTTGATGGTTTTACAGAACCACCATCCAGGTTTTGCAGCTGATTATGGTGGTTCGGTAAAACCATCGAAACTAGTCCTGTGAAAATTTTGTAAATATAACGCTGATTTTTGTTGTTTGTCTTCTGAATTAGTAATGTAACCAATTTTGTACAAAGATAGATAATGTTAGTGAAATTACATGTGTAAATGTTATATTTTTCAATATAATGTAAGATGAAGATCTAAGAGAAAAGATGCTCCAAAGGAAAAATAAGAATACAGGGGTAAGTCAATTTAGTATTCAGTGAATGGCTATTTCGCTAATTTGGCGAGCTATTGCCAAGCTGGCAATGGTTTTGGCGATTAATTTTTGTCATCAAATTTGGCGAGAAATCGCCACGCTTGGCGATATTTGGGTTCGGTTTCTGTATAACTGTAACTAATGCTCTGTAACCGTATTCGAACCTCATATGCCTTCCATTAATTTCGAGAAGCAGAAAATCCTGAAAATGTCTCGGCGGCCGGGTGAAAACTATAGAAGACCGGACAGAGAACCTGCTCTCAGTGTTATTAGTTATTGAGATATCTTCAGGCTAGCTTCTCTCTTTATATGCACTTCGCATTGCATTGTGTTTAACGTTCTTAGTAGTTTGAAGTGAAACTACTGATTGCACTCTGTAGTATTGTGAAGAGTTGTACCACTGTTTTTGTGGAAAATTCCAGAACTGAGAACTGTCTCTTTTGGTAAAATAAATTTTATGAAGCCTTCAATCTTTACGCAGGCTACAATATGTATTGTTACTAAATTATATGTATTGCAAAGAATTAGAAAGGAAGGGGCCTTTATAAGAGGTTTTGCTATTTTGTATCTCGAGCTCTACTTTTAGCATTGCTCGGTTTTGTTCTTCTTCCATTTACTACGGTCTAACTTTCTTTCAAACTTTCTTGAATGCTGTTAGTCATACTAGAAAAAGACTTTCAAATCATTATACCACTCTGAGAGGTTCTAAGTTTGAGCGAACTTTTATCACATCATTTAGTAAAGAGTCGTATGTCATTTTATGTTTATAGCTCTAGCCTCTAAGGCATTCGAGGGAGAACATTAATGGGCTTCTTCATCGTTCTTGTGCGTTTTCTGTGTAGCAAAGTTAATCTTCAGTTTGTTGCACAAATGTTTGTAACTCGGGGCTATCAAATAAGAGAAGGGGGAACTTCGCGCTGTTTGAAAACTTTCCTCTGCCAGAAGTTTGAATGATTTTGTAAAAAAACAATTTTAACGAGGAGCTGATACGAATCTTAGCCGTAAGTTAGCCAAGTCACAGTAAAACTTCTATAATATGATGTGTTTTGGACTCCTATAATGCAGAATTGCCAAATATTCCGAATTATCGGACTTAGGAAGATTATGCGGCAAAAACACGGTTTTGTTAACTTAATATCATGAGAATTCAAAATTTCAAAGGAAAGTATACGCAGAGGAACTCTACATGTCTTACATTTCGTTTTGCTTTGCTTAAAATTTGTCAATTAAATGAAAGAAGTGCTCAACTTAATATCATAGTAGTGTTTTCGTTTTTGTTTCCATGATCTGTTTCTTTCATTACTTTAGCATTTTGTTTTTATTTTAAAACTATAAGATTAAAACTGTTGTTCATTGATGCCAATCTTTAAGAGAATGTTAAAATTAATTCCCATTGTAAGCTTAAAATTCACCAATTAAATGAATGAAGTGCCAACTTAATATCATTAAGACTTTTTTTTTTTTTTTTTTTTTTCAGAATTGCTTATTTCAGTTTTTTTAGTAATTTTGTTTTATTTACACACTATCAGTTATTTAAGACGACTAAGGTTTCGAACAGTGTTTGTAATTCAGTTGAAAAAATGTTAAAATCCACTTCCAATTTTCAATTAAATAAAGAAATACTCAACAATCTAAACACCTTTTTTTTAAAAAAAATTGATGTGTTTATTGACAATGAATAGCAATGAAAAACAAATGATAAAATTTACAAAGCGAACTCTTCGAAAAAAATTTCGGAGTATTATAAATATACATGAATATTTACAACAGGAAAACAATGCTTCTTTTTTTAAATAACCAAATGTCAATAAATCACATAACAGCAAAATCTGTGTATCAGAAAATCATTTTCTTTGAAATATTATTTTTAAGTACTGAACATATTAATTGTTCTGTAACTTGGACTACATCATTTTAAAAATGTTATTTACAATTTTTCAAGCAGACTAAGTCCATAATTCGGTATGATATAGTGTAATCAATAGGAGCATAAAGATACATTCTGTATTAGAGTATATGCATTCAGCTGGAAAATTTTCTAACACTTTTTTAATAATTTTCACGTTAAAGGCAAGATTACTAATTGCTGGTAATTTACTGATACGCGGACAAAAAAATATAAATGGACAACACTCTATAAGCTTCTTCACATGTTCTCAATATACTATTTTACACACAAGGCACTACACACCTGCAGAAAGACTTTTCATATATATTTACACACAAATCTAATTCACAGATAATTTTTACATGATTAACATTCTTTACGGAACTCTGAAGATATAAAGAAAAGGACACGGAATGTTCTAAGGAATAACTACATTTATCCAAAAGTTTTTATCATCGTCCAGCGAATGAAACACATGGATGAGATATTCGACTTTAGAATATCAAAATAAATTCCCAGAATTACATATTTAATCCTAGCAATCCTGGTCTAGATATCTTGTTGATCATCATTAATGATTATATTATTATTTTTCTGAAATCAATTATTTAATTCCAGGAAATTTATTTTAAATAAATACCTAGCAAACTTATATTTATACCATTGTAGATTTTGCTTTAATTATAACCAATATTAATTTCCTAGAATTAATTATTTTACTCTAAGAAATTTGGTCTGGGTATTCAGTCAACCTTTTAATGATTATGGATTAGGCCAGTAATATATTGATGATTACATTATTTTCTGGTATTAATTATTAAATGCCAGGAAACTTAGTCTAGATACCTCGACAGTCTATGCATACAAACGTAGCCTTTGCGTATTTGGCTTGCTTTAATAGTCTAATAACATCCAAAAGTAATTTTCTAGAGTTAATTAATTCCAGGAAATATGGTCAAGGAACGCAGTCAAATTTTTGCTGACTATGAGGTAAATAAGCAATGATAATTATAAAATTATTTTTCTGAAATTAAGTATTGGATTCTTGAAAATTTAATTATCTAGGAAAACATATCCATATGTATAATTTTTTAAAGTTTTCTTTTAATAATCTAATAATACCTAATACTATTTTCCTAGAATAAATTAATTAATTTTATTCTAGGAAATATGGCCTGGGTATTCAGTTAAGTTTTTGATGACTATGGACTGAGTGTCAGTAACCCATTAACGATCCTATTATTTTTTTGTGGAATTAATTACTGAAGTCTAGGAAATGTAACCTAAGTATCTAAGCAACATACTGCATAGGTACATATAAGCCTTTTCCCTTAATATTAACAGTCCAATGACATCGAAAACTATGTTTCTAGAATGAATTACTTGATTCTTGAAAATTTGATTGGAGTGTCCAATTAGATTTTTGCTGGTTATTAATGATGATCATAAGATTATCTTATTGGAATTAATTATTTAATTCTCAGAAATGTAGTTTAGGTACTCAGCTAATTTGTTGTCGATTACAAATTGCTTTAGAGACGAGTAGTTATCGCCTTTGTTAATTTCCGCATTTTAGATCGTCTACGATTTTAAGCATCTCCCACCGAATTCTTAGATTTTTCTACCCCCTTTAAAAAATTTCCATGTAGCTGTTAATTTACGTCCGATTTTTGATTCTAGAATTCCCTAAAATAATGGTTATTACAAATTTAAGTAACCTTACCGAGAAGATTAAAATTGATTTAAATATTAATTTCAAAGTATAAATTAAATATATTTCAAGAATTTGTATTAATATTTCTTTTATAAATAGGAAGCTCCAAACCGTTGATACGTTTCTTTGATTAACAGACATTAACGAAGCAGATGCGATCCTTCGTATATTCACAAGCTCTTCGAGCATTAGGCCTGCTTAATGTTACATCACTAAAATCAAAATGATTGACAGAATTTAGGACTGATGTAGTTTTGTAAATTTTATGGTTCCGTAAAGAAAATTAATATCCACCATCATTCGAGTTCAAAATATTCTTTGGGAAAAATAACTGCGTCCATCGTTGCTATTAACAATAAACTTGGTCTTTTAAACTATATACAATAAATAAATAGGACTTTAAAGGAAAGTAATATCTTTGGATAAAGTTTTGCGAGGAAATGCACACTGTCCAGCGAGAGAAAAAGTTCTTTGAGAGTCTTTGCATCCAATGAACTTCCAACAACACGGTGGGTACGAACCAATTCAGCTGGTAAAAACACATTAATTTATTAGTAGAGATTTGTTGCACTTTTTTTTTCCTCCCTCTTTTTACGATTCAGCCGACTGGTGGTGTTTCAAGAACTCTTTCTAGCGCTGCTTTTTCGAAATGTGTTTTTTAATTGTTAGACCTCTGTCGCTAAGAGGTCCTCAGGACACGGTTGCGGATAGTGGTCATCTATGACGTAGACACTGTTCCGTGAGCAGGATTCTCTTTCCAGTGACGGATATAGAGATGACTCACTGTAAAGAAAAATAAGGAATACGTTTTTTAACTTTTTCCTGACTACGAACTGGGGACAGATCATATAACACTTTTCATAAATAAAAAAAAAAAAAAAAAAAGAAAAAGAAAACATGAGTTTGCCAGTGTGGTTGGTATGTCCCATTTCAGCCTGAATACGTACTTTAACTCTCGCAAACCATATAACACTCTCATAAATTAAAAAAAGAAAAATCCCAATGCATATGATTAGAAGTCTGACATTTATGTATCTCCAGAAAAATGAAGCAGAATAGTCATACCTTGATTTATTGTTATTTTATAATCATAATTTTTAATTGTTTTCCAGTTTTCGTTTCTAGTTATCAGCTAGTCATCATTAATTATTTTCTAATCATCAATTTTAGTTACTTTTTAATCAATTTTGTCACTCATCATTCTTAATTACTTTTTGACCATTGTTAGTTATCTGCTCGTCACCATTTTTAGTTACATATTTGTCATCATTTTTATTGTTACATTGCAAGTCATCAACTATTCAGTTGGCTTTTAGCTGCCATTAGTTATCTGATAATCAACATTATTAGTTTTTGTCCGTCATTATTAATTATTTGTTAGTTACTATTTTTGGTTACTTGACAGTCACTATTTTTATTGTTACATTGCGAATCATCGGCTGCTTATTTACATTGCTAATCGTTGTTTAAGTTATTTGTTAGTTATAAACCTAAGTTCGCGGTATTTGCTAGTTATGTAACATAAACCAGTTTCTTTAAACCGTTTTGAAAGATATCTGAGACAGGGTAGCTTTGACATTATTAATTAAACCATAGCCGTATTCTTTGTGACCACGAATGCAAACTGAATAATAAAGAAATAAAAATCAATGCAAGCCTTGCTTGAAACAAATTCAAAGAGGAAAAATATCTAAAGAAAAATTGTGAAAGAAGGCTTTCTAAATAAAAGCTAATTCTAAATTTTAGTTGCAAAGCAACTTCTTCAGAGCTATGTCTCCATGAAATATTCCAGTTAATTCCATATTTCTGCAGTCAAGAATTTTCATAACGCTTACATCTCATCTAGTTTACTTTAAATAAAATTCCGAACATTGACTTTACCAAAATGTTATTATTACTATAATATATCACTAGTGAAAATTCCTAATATCTGAAAGGGCCCGTATTTTACTTTTTTTTTTTTTTTTTCAAATGAAAAAGCTAAATGAGTAGTTAAAATTTTGTTTATATTTTTATACATCGATATCGTTGGTGAAAAGAGAAATTTTTTTAAGAACTTCAACCGAGTAGTTCAAATAAGAAAATATATAATGCCGTAAAGAAGTTATTAAATTTTTTAATGTTCTAGACTGAAATATATAATTTCCATTATTTCAGAACTGAGAAAAATTTGAACGGACTTTTCATTAAAATTTCATTACATATAAAAAAATTTTAATCCAATAATAAATAACTTCTAGCAAGTATTATTTACAGTGGTATATTTACAGCATAAGCAATTTTTGGTGCACATTGAACAATATTTATCAGCCGACTTAAAGCACTTCAGAACATCTTGAAAATTTCTAATTACTATTAGCATTTCCTTAAAACTTAATTTAAGTAATTTCATTATCCTGTTAGTGTCTGTTTGCTGCATACCATAATAATAAAAACATCAGGAATAATAAGTGAAGAAAATAATACTTTACTGCTTCCCATAATTTAATAATGAAAACTAATCACAGCTGCCAACCTTGAAATTTAAAAAGCAGGTTAGTGAACTATTTATTATGCGATTATGATCTAAACTATACTAATATATAATTTAAATTTAAGCTTTTTGGCCAATTTTATTTTGTAATTTTATTACGTTTTTAAGCTTTTCTTTATCAAAGTACTTTTTAAACACGGTAAAAATAATAATTCATGTGAATGGTGAATAAAATTACCACTGTATCATTTATTGAAGTAAAATAAAATTAAATGTAAATATGGACTACTTAAACATTGGTTGAATTTTCACATAAAATTACAATAAGACAGAGTTTCTCAAACTATGGTACATGTAATACTAATTGTACATTATAATATTCTGGTTAGTACAGTATTTTTCTCAAAAGATTTAAATGAATTTTCAGAATGAAGCTCCTTTTCGTACATGTATTTGGGACATGAGAGAAAATATATTTTTGATTCTTATTAATGTGGTACAAAAGTTTGACAACCCCTGGTTCATGATAATTCAAACCAAAGAAAATTTAATGAGAAAAATTATGCTGAAAATCATCGGGAATGGAATATGCTCAATTTACGTTTCATTAATGCAATAACCCCCCCCTTTTTTTTTAATAAAGATTCAAAATAAAAAACCGAGAGATTGGATGATTTACCAAGAGTTGTTATTGGCAACTTCTGGAATGAATTGCAACTGAAATAAAAAAAAAAATTCAAGGCCTTAATTTTTAGCTGATTCTTTCTGCTTTTATATGTTTCATTAATTTTCATCCAATCATTTATTATTATTTTATCACTTCCTTTACCATAATTTTATCATTCATCTTTTTATCTATTCGGGTTTCATCTACTGAAGGTAACCGTTAAATAAATTACTGAAACAGACACTAACAGTTTGAATTATATTTAAAAAATATCATTTATTTATGTACACAATTGATAATAATAAATATAATAAATACATTATTTAAAGAGGAACTAGATCACAGATTGTGGAGATATTTGGATTCAGTTACCTTTTACTAGAGGGTAAGTGTTGAGGGGGGAGAGAATCTCTCCTGTCTAGTGTCCTGGGAGCACATTCGTGCTCTAAGTCTGTTGTCTCCAGCATCTTGCTGGTTCGGGTGCTGCAAGTGCAGTCCGTATTTAAAAGTTTCGTAGATTTAGTCCTCTGAAGGGGGTCCTCGCCCACCTTCTGGTACAGTGAAGAGTCTTGTCCCTCGTTCGTCATTTTGAGGGATTTGTGGGGATGGCCCGATAGGCTCAAAGTGTTAATTATTTGGTTATCTAAACACTTATTGTTCATAACACTATTTTGTTCATTTTGTCTGCACGCCTCGGCGTCCAGTTCACGTTGCTCGCGCTTTTCTCTGTATCTTTTTCTGCAGTGCCAACCAAGGACACCACAAATTACAAGTAGCAGCATAAGCACTACTGCCACTATGAGGACAACGGACGAGGACGAGGAATCACTTGAATCACCTTTCACCACACCCTCTTCTTCTTCGGAGACTTGATGGGCGATCTCGAGAAGCGCTGTGGGGTTAATAGCCAAGCCGTTGTTGCCACCGCCGCCCCTATTCGTTTTATCGAGATCATCATCAGCGTCGATGACCAGTTCTGTTCCGTGGTAATCCCGACGCCGTGTGGTTGTGGTCAGAACACCTCCGTCGATGCGACTAGAGATGAGGCCGTTGCCTTTTGGTATGCCAAAGACGACAACTGGTGTGTCCAGTAGTCCGTCCGGATTTTCGCATTGCTTTCCATGGAAGCCGTCTTTGCAGTGACACACGAATTCGTTAACGAGATCCTCGCACTTTCCGCCGTTGAGGCAAGGAGCAGAGAGACACTCATCGATGTTGACGGAACAGTCTTTTCCTGCAAATCCAGCCCTGCAGTCGCAACGGTAATCGTTGATGAGATCGTGACACGTCCCTCCGTTGGAGCAAGGTTTGGTGAGGCAGTCATTGACATTACTTTGACACATGGCTCCCATGAAGCCCGGAACACAAGCGCAGCGAAATGAATTGATTTCGTCAATGCAGGACCCACCGTTCTGGCACGGACTGTTGACGCAGTCGTCGATGTCGGACTCGCAGTTGTCTCCTGTGAATCCTGTTGGACAGACGCAACTGTACCAGTCCTGTTTGTGCACGCAGCTGCCACCTAGAAAGAAAACCGAGGAATTAATACCACATGAAATATTACGATTTAGAAATTAATTTTTCATTCCGAACACACACTATGTCATTAATATATATATATACTATATATAATATAAGAAAGACAAACTAACTAAACTTAAAAGGACCTTTGAGGTCAAGAATTTTGCGCATTGAGCTGCAAAATTTGAAACAAAATTAAAAAGTAAATTCTTCAAGTTATCGTCTATCAGCTAAAGTGATACTTCGGTTCCTTTGCAAAAATTCTAAACGTTTGCCATCCATGAATTTTGTTGTTCAGTGCTTCTCTAAATTATAAAAATTTGCCCGTTCTTAAATTCTGCTATCCGCTGTCTCCCTAAATAATTCAAAAATAATTCGAATATTAGTCCGTTATGTCACTCTTCGTCACTTCGGTTCCCAAATGCTAGGTATTCTACATATTCTTTAGAATGCCTGCAATGTTCATACATTGCCGGTATCATATATAGAATACTAAACTTTAAATTATAGATGAATTCATTTAACATAATATAGTTAAATTATTTTGAACATGGCAAAGCAAAGAACGCTTGGATCGGTCTCGTTTATCTGATTACGCGAGGGCTATGTGCCGAAGGGAAGTATGTCTCCGTTGACGACTTCCAAAGGAAACTGACTTGTATTTAAGTTAGATATTGGGAAATCATGACAATGCCCATGCATCCAGGATGCGAAGCCAGGTTAAACTACCAGTGTTCAATGACTTAATCACTCGGTCACTGGAGGGTACGGCTTATGAAAGACTTTCCAAGGGAAACTAGCTCATATTCACGTTACACATGGGGAAAACCAAGCGGCCAAACCGTTCGTCTGGATTCGAACCCGCGATTCATCCGTCTTTTAGACATTTGGATTTGGCCCCTGGTGAAGGCTTTAACAAAAAGTAAATTATAATGAGCTTTGTACTTTTTGGTTGATTTATTTCTTTGATTAATAACTTACCATTTTTGCAAGGGCTTGGTTCGCAGATATCCTTCTGTCTGTCACATTGTAGCCCGTCGAAAGCTTCGGGACATACGCAGAGGTAGCCGCTGGGCCCGTCCACGCATGTTCCCCCGTTGTGGCATGGGTTTTCTGTGCAAGTACTAGCCGCCGTCTCACAATGTCTTCCAAAAAATCCAAGAGAGCACTCACAAGTGTAGTTTTTGCCAGCACTCTACAATGGAAAAATGAAGTAAGAAATATATAAAAATAATGTAAAAAAAAAGTATATATAATAACGTTAAAACATGTAAAAATAATGTGAATAAATTGGTAGAGTACATTTTACTCTAACTGTGACAGTTAGACGAAGAATTTTATTTTCGTTTTCTCTTCGGCTTTAATATGCAATTTGATATATCGCCGCCCTGCTGGCATTGCCTTTTGTTCAAGTTCGTATCTCTGAGAAGGCATGGATAAAGTCTGCAGTTTGGGAAAACTTATAATAAGTCGAAAGCTCTTTTGAGAGGTTGATGGTAGATGCAGAGGGGTATGGGCCCTCGGAACTTTCCCTCAAAAGAACGGAACTTGGCGCATTCGTATTGTCACCTGTAAGGTACCGAAGGCAGCAACAGTTGCAACCCTTGCTTGCGATAAAATTCTTGAATTTGATATACGTTCTTACAAATAACGTAATCAAACACTATAGTCTTTTAGAATAGGAATTCTAAAATTCTTTTTAAATATTTAAAAATATTCTAAGAGAATATATTTCTTTTGAATATTCTATTCTAAAGAAACTAGTAACTTTCTATTCTACACTTTTTAGAACACATTCGAATTAAAGAAAACGAAATCCAAAAAAGAATAAATTTTTCAAAAATATATTCGAATTCTTTTAGATCATATTCCAAAAGAATATGTTCTTTGGTCTTTAAGATAATAAGTCAAAAGAAAAGTAATTAAGAAGAAAATCGTCATGAAAAAACACGAAAGGCAAAAAAAGGGCAAGAATCCGTCAGAACAAAAAAAAAAAAAAAAAAAAAAAAAAAAAAAAAACTTTAATACTCTCTCTCTGCATCAGTGGATCGAACAAAATAAGTCAATCACATGACACTTCTTTAAAGAACGTTGTGATGAGGGTGGTATTTTAGACGAAGACACATTTCGAACACAATGCACTCTGCACTCTTTTTATTTTTTATATCACCACAACGCGAACAACATTGTCATTCGCTTAGATAATTATTACGACCTCCGCCAGATAGCGCTGGCTAACGAGTAGTTAAAAACATCTAATGTCAGAGTGCAGGTGGTGGCATCACGAGAAAACGTGTATGTCTGGGTTCAGCCCTTTTGGAGTCCTCTCCCTTTTTTCGATCGAACAAACAGGTCACGGAATTGATTGCTAGTTAGGGCCGCCAGAAATGATTTAAATTAAGTTCACAAATTTTTAAAGGCATTGACCAACTAAATGCAACTGAAGACGTAACACCATTTCATAAATCAAACTGTGAATTTAAAGTTTTTTTTTTTTTTTTTTAAATTGTTAATAATCAGCTTGAAGATGCGAAGAAACCTAGTACAATAATTTAATAAGGAAAATGGGAATATATGTAATTAATTCCCAATTAACCGCGATAATGCTTCCAAATATTGGTTACGTTTCGTTATTTGATTATGGCAAAGCACACGAGGGTCGTCTAAGGGGAGGGTTACCTTAGTTCATCTAAGGGGAGGACTTTCTAAGGGAAACTGGCTCGTATTCACGTTATGCATGGGGAAAACGCCAAGAAAACCAAACATGCAACACTTCATTTCGCATGGATAGAACTAAGGTCGAATTACCTGTAAGCGGTGTAAGCGGAATTACCTGTAACCACTCAGTCACTAGTGGGGCATCGATTGCGTCATCTGTTTTTAGCTCACGCATTTTTTCTTTTCCCTTTACTTTTCGAGCACAGTTTTAATCTGATGTTTGTAATAATATTTCTATCGAACCGCAATAAGCAACGAACTAAACATTTAAGATAGGATTCGGTTACTCGACCAGACGTTTAATCCGTCCTTCGTCACTGATGAGTTAATTACAACGGATGTTGAAAATTTTAACCCAATTTAGGTGGATAGTGTTGAGTAATAGCAAGAGTCCGTTTAATCGAGTATTGATTGGATTTTGCAAATTTTTTAAAGCGAACTTACCCTACAAGTTCCTCCATTAAGGCACGGCTGGTGCACACAGTCGTCAACTTCTTCCTCACAATTTGTGCCAGTATATCCTTCTGCGCATGTGCAGGTATAGGATCCTTGGCCAGTATTGGTGCATGTTCCACCATGCTTGCATGGCTTATGATTGGTACAATAGTTGAGATCTAGAAATGAAGAATAAATACATGTAAATATTACCTTAACAGTATTTACAGTAAAGAAGGCCCAATCAACAAACTTGGTATATTACGAATTATTGTACCAATCATAAAGTTATGTACGCATTTCGTAACCTGTACTGGCCGAACTACAGGATATTTAAGCAGTGTTTGTACAGGTTCGCCATGCTTACATGGCTTATGATTGATACAGTCATTGAAATAAATCGTATACAAATAAATATGTGCATGATTTTTTATACGTGCATGATACGTCATAACGCTAAAAGTAAAGCAAATTACTTTCATAATATTTTAATAGAAAAACCGATAAACTCGGTGTCCACAATTTTCAATAGCACTTCCATCCGAAAAACACAGTATTTACAAATTCAAGAACTTAAACAAAAGCTATTGCTGTAGCGGGTGGCGGGGTTATTTCTTCCCAACAATATTAAAAGAGAAAGTAATGCGTGCAATTACGTTCCGAAATAAAAACAAGAGAGAAAAATCAAACCATAAAATGAAAGACGATTGTTTTCCTGCGATACTATAACAATAATATAAAAAAGTATAAATAAATAATGAAGGAAAAGTTTTATTCTCCGCTCCCCTCTTTTTCGACTCACATTTATTATTTAATTGCCTCAGATAGCTTTGACCTTGAAGAGTTACGCATAGAAAAGTAAAATAGCCCCTTGAGTGGACAGATTTCGAACCGGAAGCACATCGCACGCAAACCACTGAAGGTGAACTTAAACAAAGAGGACTTTCGATGGATGCCATAGATCACGTGATAATATGAAAACAAAGACCAAGCTGGACATGGGAAAGAACACGACTCACAGCAAAGAGCAAAATTCGTCAGCAGTCTTTGCATGATATTCTACCTCCTTTTTTCTTAGATTATTTACCTCGCTCGGCAGTGCCGTATGGACACGGAGTTCATTAAACGGCCAAATCGTATATATACGTTTAAAAATATTTGTCGTGATACCGTTAAGTAAGCAAAAATTCATTTTGAAATGTACCCAGGCAGTAAAGTAGTATATATATATATATATATCTTGGAATAAAAGAAGTTAAGATACAGAGAAGGAGGGTCATTTCGGAATTATAATCAAGAAAATACAATCACTCATTGCATCTTTGTAAAGTTTAGGGTTTGGGAACGAAAACTTCCGACCGCTTGGTGTAGTTAAAAGATGTCTATCAGATTTTATATTTTCACTATCGGTAATAGATAACATTTGCCCTAAAAGAATATAGTCTTTTTTTCTAAAAACATACATAAAAGATGTATTCTTTGATATTCTATTCTATTTTGTTTTAAAAGAATATATTATTTAAAACTATGTCTTCTCAGGAATGATGTGCTCAGAAATGCCATTAGTGGGAAAGTGTCGTATTACCCATTTTGGCGTTCCTGCTGAGAATGGATCTGAGTATTCTGGCAAAGTATGTGCGGAAATGTAACTTTTTGTCTATAACTGGTTGATTGCAGCTATTAAGTTTTTGATCGCACCTATTAGAAAATACACAGAATTCATTGCCTACCTTGATTGCAGAAGAGACCGCCCCAACCTTCATCACAGTTACATTGCCATGGTTGGTTGCAACTTCCATGTAGGCAACCGGGATAAAGGGTGCACTGGTCGCAATGGGGTCCTTCCCACCCTAGTCGACATCTATGAAAGAAAAAAGTAACAATTTAACTTCTGATTACTGTCAAAATTTGATAAACAAATTGAATTACCACAAATTATATAGAAGTAACTATATGAAAAGGGCTAAAGAAACCTAGATTTTAAAACGGATTACCTGACTAGCCATTAGGGTAGTCTGGTCCAACAGAAACAATGAAAACCACGCGGACAACAAAGTTGATTCCATGCAAACTTTTGTTAACCAGCATTAATTCACACATTTACTTTACAGTACAAGTATTACCATTACGCATCTTTGCAAGAATTATACCAAATCATGTCTATTTAGCTTACGGAATGAGAAGCAACACATATGTATGAAATTTTGTTACTTGTTGCTTCTGTGAATTTTAAAATCTTGTTATCTTGTTACGCGAAGCTTCTTTAAATTCTAAATAAATAAATAAGTAAATAAATAAAAATAAAAAATATAAAAAAATCATGTCCGGTACTTCCTCTAAATTTTAAAAAGTATGCTATCTCCAAATTCTGTGGTCCGGTGCTTCATCTAAATTCTAAAAATCTTGCCATCCCTAAATTCTGTAGTCCAGTGCTTTCTTTAAATCCTAAAAATCTTGCCATACCTGAATACTATTGTTTCGTGTTCCTCTAAATTCTAAAAAGTTTGTTGCCCGGTATCTTTCGAAATTATTAAAAATTTTTGGTAAAAATAGACCCTAAATTTTAGCATTTAGCTCCGAATGCATTCTCTAAATTCTGCATGCGGACTCTCTCTAGATGCTAAAAAAATTGCAGCCCCTAAATTTTGCTGCTTAGTGCTTCTCCTAATTTAAAAAAAAAAAAAAAGAAAAAAAAAAGAAAAAAAGAAAAAAGAAAAGAAAAAGTTTCATCCCTAGATTTTGTTGCTGGGTCCTTCTCTAAGTTTTAAAAATTTGTGCGACCGGTGCAGCTCCAACGGCTCTGGATCTGAAGTCCCCCTGTAGGCTTCCTCAGCGTCCACTTTGGGAAACTTAAAACACAAACAGTGAAGAGAAATCACCTAACACAGCGAGGAAGAGATGATTTCCAGAAAAGGAAACTATAACTACAGGGTTAATGCTTCTTGTTAGAAAGCTAAGTTGTCTCCCGATTCGCTCCAGGATAGGAGACACCATACCAAATTGAAAGGCACTCTATCAACTGATAAACAACCTTGTAGATAATGCCCCCGCTTCTGGCTCCACTAAAACGACCTCCATTTTTCACTTTATCCTGTAAATTGAAGTGGAGGGAGGGAGAGCCCCTTTGGCTTCTGTGCACGCAGAAGAGATAAACCCGTAGGAATTCGAAACGCCAACAGAGATAATAGCTTCAGGACCCCCTTGGCGTTTTCCAGAGGAGATAGGGAAACCTATGGGTGTGCCGTAATTCTGTATTCCGTGGAATCGCCACAAAATAATAGCATTAATTGACTTTCTAAAAGTTCAGTTCCGTGTCTCGAGGAAAATTCCCAATCACTATTCATTTGTATAAAAATATTGCTAAAAGGAAATGTTATATAAAACATAAATTAACATATAAACAGTGATTAACGATCCAGTAATGTTATGTATAAAAATATATTCTTTGTCGAATTAGGTTGTTTTGAAATCTTACCTCAAATCAGCAGCATTTAATCACGTATCGTATGATTCGTTTTAACGCAAGACAGCCATTAGTCTCGAAATATGATTTTGCGTTGTTTCACTTTTCATTCGAATGAGTTGCCATTCGACGAAAATGTAAAGTATTCATCTTTCAAATTGAAGCTGTTTTTTATAGATTAACACCCGCTCCGAGGGTCTACATCGGCGTGGTGGAGAATCGGTAATATTTCCCGGATGGAGAGCGGATAACGGGACCGTCACCAAGCTGTGGGGGGCCTTCCAACATGGGGGGCATTAGCAGTTTCTTGATGATGCAACTAAACATCCACTCACTAAGCTGAACTCGATAGTGGGTTCAGCTTAGTGAGGTGTTCGTAATGGGGTAGTACAGCCGGTGACAGAGCTACTGATGCCCTGGGACCCGATAATTCCAAGCCTATGTCATGGATTAATAAATTAGCCCATCTAAAAGCAGCAGATGCAGTTCTTAACAATATTATTTTTTGACTTTCAGTCGGATTGATTTTAATAAAAATGCATTTTATTAATGATACATATAGCTAAAAACATTCAATATTCTTATAAAATAGTTCTATATTTTTCCATTTTTCAAATACACAGAAGATGAGTGTGATCGCGTGTTTGTCTAAACGTATATTCGTCTAGTATTCTTCTAAAATGTTTCATTATTCCACTGGGTCATCTATATCTTAACTTTAAAAGAACCATTAAGAGAATAATAATCCAAAAATTAACTGACACTAATAGTCCAGGAATAAAGTTGAGAATAATAACTAAATTAACTTGAGATTGATATTCCCGAAATTAAGAATAATAATAAAAAAATTAATTTGAAACCAATAATTCAGATTTAAATTTCAAACTGAGAATAAATAATTTATTAAGAAATTGAGAATAAAATATGAATTCGAGATTAATAATCAAAAAATGAAGTTCAAATTAATACAGAAATTATGTTTTGACTACTTACTTGCATTCATCAGGCTGATCACAATATCCGTGTTCTTTATGACAACCCGATAAACAGACAGCTACAAAAAACAAACAAAAGAAAATAAATACATTACATTTGCTTGATGTCAAAGAAAATAAAGTGCATTATAATGCGCCAGTAATAAATAATACTCTTGAAAATATTTTTTTTTTTTTTTTAGAATAAACAAAATAAATTGCTCTTAATGCGCAGTAGTGTTTAAAGGGGGAAAAACTTAATCAATTCAGTTAATTTGCCGTTCGGTTTTAATAAAAAAGTGTCCATGGATCTAAAAATGCATGTATATTATACCTCTTTTTTATTTTACTTCATTAACTTTATATTTTACAAATAATATGCCTGTATTTGTTATCATGCTGGGTGGTTGGGTGTCAAAATCATATAAAATTATTAAAAGAATAACATATTGAATCTTAAATATTTGATTGAAAATCTATGTATGCTGTTTTATTCAAGTGATTTTAAAAATACATTATATTATATATATAGAGAGAAAGACAGACATTGTTTTCACATGAAAACACACCTTTGTTTTGATGAAAGTTCAAAAGGTTCCCCCGAAAGCGAAAAAGAATAGTGAATACCCTACGGAATCGTTTTGTTTTTTACGTCTTGTATTCATTTATTTTAAATCCCTTATTCGCATTTAAATTAAAACAATCGAGAAGTATTTTTTTCATACCACTCGTTCTTTATTAAATTGAAAATATCTCTCGGGGAACAGTTTCTTCAAATCACTTATCTGTAAATAATTTTAAAAACTCTCTGAAAACGTTTTCTTAATCTTAATTAAATCGAAGAACTCTCGGGGGCTAATTTTTCGTAATTAAACTGAAAAACTCTTTACCTTAAAATTAAACTATTTATATTGTATTAAATATGAAACTATACATTATACTAATATAATATTATATTTATTTATATTAACTCTTGGGGAAGTATTTCCTTCGTATCACTTATTCGCCTTTCCTTCAGATTACTTATTCTTGATTATATTGAAAAACTTGGGAAATATTTTCTTCGTTCCATTATTCGCAATTAAACTGGAAAACTATCGGGGAACATATTCCTGACACTACTTATTAAAGACCTGCCAATATACAAATATCAGCCCCCGAGAAAAACATAGGAAGAAGCTTCCACAGATGGCTCTCAATAAAGACCAGAATCTCGCTAATAGGTAACCTCTTTCGCTTAACCTTCATCAGTGCGCCAGAATATGAAAGAAGGAACCGTAAGAGTGGTTAAAGATACTATACAGCACACACACATGCACATCCCTTCCCATCCAGATTAGGATTTTTCGACGTTTTCCCATAAGAAGTCGATAACAGGGTCTCACGAGAATGGAAAACCCGCTACTTCCTGAGGAGTTTGTTTCCCATCAAAAGGCATTGGGCAATTCAGCAAGCAAGATGCTTGATGCCTTCCTTTAACATCCTCTCTCGGGGTCCTCGTCAAGGGAACGAGGGGTACCTTCAAGGAGGTGGGTGAAGCTCTGCATCCGTCCACTTCCTTTCTCCGTATTTTTTATGGAAACTTATTTTTTCCCGTATGTTTTCTTCCTTTCGACGTAAGAAGTGCGCTCTACCCACCGGAGTTCTCCTATTGTCTAAGGAAAAACTGTAAGGGGATAGTGGTAGAGAACCAGATGGAAGCTAAGATGGTGCATGTGCTTGCTCCACACCCTGCTACAGCCTGCCTGCCTTCTATTTATTTCTTTCTTCCTACTTCTTTTCACCCTCTTTTCTTCCTCCCTCCCCCTGCACCAGCAAGAAGCCAGCTGGTAAGCTTTGTCAATGGCCGTAACCAGCTGCTGCGTTTTCAGTGATGTGAGTTTACTGCGTGTGGGAAGGGGCAGTCGCTTGCAAAAACACCCGGCGTTTTCTCCGACGCCATCTTCCTAAATCCCCCCCTCAATTCCTCTTATTATCCATAAGATGGACAGACACAAATTTCGGACAAGAATTAAGATGCATTAGTATAAACTTACAATAGTATATTTAAAAAATATACGTATATAATACGTTTTCTTTTATCGATAGTATATGCATATTTTCCGTATCATCTGCCTGGGTGGATAGGAGTCAAAATTGTTAAAAAGCAGGAATAACTTAGAGAAGATCTAGCTCTCTCTCTCTATATATATATGAGAACTATATATATATATAAACAAAGGTTTAGAAATTTTTAATTTAATTATTATCGCTTCATTATACCTATATATCTGTCTAGTGTGTATATGTATATAATAATATAACACAATAAATAAATAAATAAATAAATAAATATGTCTACGATAAAAATATGCAAATAAAAATTTCCACTTAAATTTACAACAGCCTCTTCTTCACATTTCATTTTAATTTAAGTCTTTCCGCTTCCTATTTAAAAAATAGTAATTACTTACAATGAACCTTTCTGGACTGCGTCATTTTCAAGTTAATGCATGTCATATGACCTTTCAAATAATGCTGATGTCGTTTTGTGAATTCAAACTCAATCGGCCAATGATAATTTTAGACAGTTATTAATTAGCCAATCAAAATGATATCGAAATTGAAACCAATTTATTCTGCGCTAAGATTTCGACTCGAACGCTTCGCATTTGCTTCCAGCTTCTCCTGCTATTGCTTGCTCTCTTCAAAATTTTATTTTTAAAACGCAACCTACCGATTTAACTGTCCAAAAACAAGCGCTTTGGCTCCGAATTTATTTATATTGTTTTTTTTTTTTTTTTTAATGTTTGCTCAACTCGCAAGTTTCTTTGATTATGCTTGAACAAATGTATTTACTATATGTATATATATAACATTTATTTCAGGTGGCTATTTCCCTTAATGTCTTCAAGAGTTTATTTTTTTAATTTATTTATCCCCCCCCCAAAGTTAAAAACTATTCAATTCGGGAAGAATATCAACTGACCTGTTGAGCAATATTCTCCGCTCCATCCTCGCAAACAGACTTTGTCACCAGTCGGACTGCATGTGTAATGACCAAACTTATCGTTTCTTGGCCTGCATAGCTTTTCACAACTCTCGCCATAATAATTATCCATGCACCGAACTCTTATGGCATAAGAGAATTGAGTGTGATTCGTTTTATGCATGTCCTGGGTCCAGTACTGGCTGACATCAAGCCATCGCTGAGTAGCAAGGCGAGTGATGAGTTTGCGTCCAACTCCTAAAAAGAAGACATTTTTGAATTAATATGGAACAAAAGATAATCTTAACTTGACGTTCTAAACTTTTTGAGCCCAAGTTGCTTATTTTTAGATTTATAGAGATTTTCTAATTCAAATTATGTAAGGGCACATAGACTCTCAACTTTATATTCAAGTTACAATCACATAGATTTATATTTACAGTCACCTACAGAATCAATTTCAGATTCTAGTTATTTACTATCACACGTATCACCAAACTTAAATTCAAGTTACATTCAATTGCAGAGATTCTGAACTCTAAAATCAAGTTACTTACCATCACACATCTCATCAGCTTTAAACTTTTTTAAGCGTTCTTTATTCGCAATCACACAGATTCTTAATTTTAAATGCAAGCAAATTTTATTTACAGTTCTTATAGAGAATCAAATTCAAATTATTTATTATCATACAGATCACCAAATCTAAATTTTAAGTTATTTACAATCACACAAAACATCAGCTTAAAATTCAAGTTATTTCCACTCACACAGATTCTTTAAATTCAAGTGCATATATTATTTACAGTCACATAGAAAATAAAATTCACATTCAAGTTATTTACAATCATACAGATCCAAATATAAATTCAAGTTATTTACAATAACAGAATTTATAAATGAAAAACGTTCGAGCACAAATCAACAAAGACAAGGAAGCAAAAGTTTCCAAACTGAAATGACACCATTGTTCGGTTAGTATAATTCTAATAGTCCAGTTTAGTGTACATAAAAAGGAAGAAAAAACTCCCTAATTGTGTTTTATGTTTCTTTTAAAACAAAAACAAGCAAAGGAAAATAAACCGCAGAAATGTTATTAAACTGAAATAGTTTGACAGTGTCAGACACTTCTCTTAATTTTCGCTAAATATTTTATTAATAATGTTCTTTATTAGTTATTCAATAAATATAATCTAAATAATGAACATTTATTAGTTATTCAATAATATTTTATTAGTTATTCAATAAATATAATCTAAACAATGAATAAGCAATCTAAAAATTACCATCCGCTTTTTTTTTTCTTTTTATCGTTCTTTGACAGTTGTGTAAAAGTCAAGTAGAAAGAAATCGATAAAAAGCTGAGAAAGTCTTCAAGGCGTAAGTTATCAAAAAAGTTTTAATACCACTGACTTAGTATCTTCATATCTAATGATGTATATTTTCCTGTTATCTGCATTAAAAAAAAAAAAAAAAGTTCAGGTCCCCGACTTAGTGTCTTCATTTCCTATGATGTTTTTCTTCCATTACATTAAATTCACCTTATGATTTACATTAAAAGTTTGAGGACTCCTGATTTAGTATCTTCGTATTTAATGATATTAATTCTTCTATTATTTACATTAACAGTTTAAGCAACCCTGACTTAACGTCTTCATATCTAATGATGTTTATTTTTCCATTTTGAACATTAAAAATTCGTGGACCATAAAGTTGTTAATTACGCGAGAAGCGACTCCAAACTCTGTGCATCATTTTATTTCAAGCTGAAGGTTTCCCTTTGATGGCAGAGACATAGACCCCGCCTAAGGAATAACTTAACATCATTAGGTCATTAACTAGGTCGTGTTAGGGGCCCCTCGTCCGGACCTTCTTACCGTCATCTGATCACGTATAAGGTTTAATAATGCGTGCTTGCGTGAGCTTTCGTTACGCTTGGAGAGGAGCAGGGCCGCTAGGGTCATAAAGTAGCAGCCCCCCTTTTCTCCTTGCGGGCCCCCTGTTGCTCTGAGTACACCTTCCAAGCTACTTAATTGTCAGTTTGAGAAGAAGAAAGGAACTACGCAGTTGATCACGCACAATTACCTATTATACATTCCACGTTGATATGGTGGCAATAAGTACAGTTTTGTTAATTCACCGACATCGATGATCTTTGACTGATATCGATTAGAGACTTGAATTTATTCGCAGCTTAACGTTCTTGTGAGGCGAAATTTATACTAGTGAGAGAGGATTAAATTAAATGTATATTCATGTTCATAATGTATATTCATTCTTCAGAATGCATATTCACTTATATCGATGATCGCTAAACGATTATTTGATATCGATGAAAAGATTTAAATTTATTTGAAGCTTCATTTTATTGTGAAGTGAAAGGCACACGAGTGAAAATGAATCAAATTACATTGTATATAAAGACTATCAAACGTTTTCGTCATTTAAAAAAAGCTCCAAATTGACTTGAATTCAGGTTATAATGCATGATTTAGAACATGAATATACATTTACCATTACTGAACCATTTGTAATATGATTTTGATGAGAAATATATTAATATTTAACTATATATGCTAAATTTTACGCTGTTTTGGCTAACTAATTTGTAAAAACAAAGAAATAAAATTACTCAGCGTAATTTATGTAAAGAAAGGTACCCCAAGCTATCCAAAGTATATGTGTAAAATAAGGTACCTAAAGTATCCAAAGTATGTGTGTAAAATAAGGTACCTAAATTATGTAAAATAAAGCATTGAAAGTACCCAACAAATTTATGCAAAAACAAGGTATCCAAAATATATCTAAAGTTTTTATGATTTAACGACAACCTATCTTAGCTGTGTGTCAATGCGTTAAGAAGACGTTTCGGGTCAAGGGTATTTTCATTTTAAAACAGTCTTTTTTGGTGAAAAATAAGATAAATTTTATTCAGAAAATAATTACAATACGCTTTAAACTTTAAAAATTTAAATTATAATTCCAATTTAAATTATAATTTAAAAATTTAAATTATAAATTATAATTCATTGGAATATTTTAAGAAATAATTTCAATTACTGCAAAAACAAATTTAACTGAATGAACTTTATTTTTCTCTTCGATATCAGTGGCTCTCCCGATGCTGAACTTGTTGACGTCAATTTAGTTGTCTTATAGTTAGTCGTCTTGAGACGAACAAAAGCATCTGAATTTTCATACTTAACTCCTCCTGTTCTTACTTAAAACAAATTTGATGTATGAAAATTTGCTCGCATTTTTATGTTGAACCGAATGCGGACAAAATGCCAAAGCCAATTTTTTTTCCCACTACTAAGCAAGTGCTATAACGAGAGTGAACTAGGAGAACTGAGATTACGACATTAATGCCGTCAGATACCTGTAAGGAATTATGGATCGGCATTGCCAAACTTATCGCTTTCTCATTGAAATTATATTACAAAAAGTGCACGTTCGTTACTGCAACTTTGAAATCAAACAAAAATGTTAATATTATAGTTCACTTTCAGTTTATTTTTTATGTATTGAAGAATAAACTGTTCGTTCCATATTTATGTTTTACAACTTACTATTACACATTATACTTCATTTTCCGAACTCAAGTGAGTCACTTGAAATTATGAAATGAGTCATTCGGTGACCCGGTTGTCATGGCTTATCAAGGCCTGATTTAGTGTCTTCATGTCTAATCATGTTAATTCGTCCACTATTTACATGAAAAATTTTAACATCCCTGACGTAGTACCTTCATATCTATAATGACGTTTATTTTTTTCATTATTAACATTTAAAGTTTGGGGTCCCACTGTTTAGTGTCTCCATATCTAGCAATGTTTATTCTTCCATTATTAAGATTAAAAATTTAGGACTCCTGACTAGAGCCTTCCTAGATACCTAAAAGCGAACAAATATTCATGTTAAGTTAAATACCGAAGATAGATCAAAAGTATTTATCTTAAGTAAGGTACTCAAAGTTATTATGTAAAAGTACCTAAAGTATTCAAAGTATTTATGCAATACAAGCTACCTAAAGTTGGGTGTTCGCCCACCCTCCCTGAAAAAAATAAAAAAATAAAAAAAATAAACGCATAGCTAGAAAATCCTCTCGAGTTTGCTAAAAACAGAAGCCCTTGAAATTACGCGGGGTCGTTGGAATATTTTAAGAAATAATTTACGTGAATCAATAAAAGACAAAAGATGAACTAATCTTTAAGAAAATTAAGCAGTGAAATTCGGGAGAAAGACAGACAGAAGAGAGAAAAAGTGGTGCGGATGGGAGGGGGGACTTTCCCATGGGGTATGGAAAGATGAAAAAGGAGGGAGGGGGGTCGATATCCTCTAAACCTACTTCTTGGAGTACATCTGTCGCGCCGTTTCGTCATACTACACTACGCGTCCAGCTTTAACTAATTGTGCGGATGCGCTGGCTGGTGTGATGCAACCAGACGAATCGCATTATAACATACTGGAAAAGACCGCAAAAGTTGTCTTCTTTTTTTAGAGGGAAGTTTTTTTTTCTACCTCGACTCCGAAGGAAATTTCACTTTTATCAAGATTGAGGTATCGAAGCGGTTTGAGTTTCCCACCATTCGCATAAAAGGTGCCGAATGTTAATTTTCCTCTTCTTTGCTTTTTTTTTTTTTTTTTTTTTTTAGTGAATGTTATTTCTACACGCCGATTTCCTCTGCAACCATCCGTCTAAAACAGTTATTATAAAAAAGAACAAAATATGTAATCTTTGTAACGAGTCCAGCAAGTGATCAACAATAACAGAGATGATTTATTGCTTTTAAATCGCGTAATTTATAAATCAGTAACTGAAAGAAAAAATGGCGGGAAAAAATTCAGTGTCTTACGATTTGCTGAATGGCAGCATACTGGGACGCTGAATATTTTTTTTTTTTTTTTTAATTTGGCCCATGGCAAGACTTTTTTTTTTTTCTTTAAACCACCGAGTATGTTGGTTAAATTTGGAAGACAAATGTTTTATGATTTGACAAAAGGTAACACATTTCTTTTAAATCGCTGAGTTTTTCGATTAAATTTGAAACATGAATATCTTATACTTTGCTACAACATACTGCTTTTAAATAGCGCAGTTTGTTGTTTAAAATTCATCAATTTCTCGTTGAACATAAAATAAATTTTAAAAAAAATCGAATTCAAATTTTGGAAGTGGCTATACATAATTCATTATCACTTAGATTTGCTTAACTGAGTGCCACACCTCGTCCTCATCCTCTGCATGGAAGTAGGAA